TTTCTTAACTGATGGTATTTGTTGTAATTGTTTTAATTATTTATCTTGTTTTAGATCCATGTTTTTGTAACTAGGTGCTGTATGAATAAAGTTATTATCACTATTATTATTACTATTTTTATTATTGTACTGATGAGCAGTTGTTATTTCACCTATGGCTGTACTGACCATATTTCATAATACAATCTTTATTGTAATTCTGTTTATTTTTTCCTTACTTATACAACTTTCAGTGCCGACTTCAGACCGACAGGATCTCTCTTGGCAGGAAGGTCTGGACAGGATTTAGACAAACATGAATTAACCTCAGTGTTAACAAAATACCAAACTACCAGCAGCCCTGTAGAGGTGTGTTCACCTGCTAATTCGCACTGAAACAACCAGTCGCTCACGTCTTTCACTGCTGCTGTTATATACCTGAAACTGATACTAACCTCTGTTACTATATATTGTGTGACAGACTTTTAAAAGAAGATCAGGAGCAACTACAAAATATGTCTTCCTCCTCTTTGGCACCCATCCAGCTGGTGGCACAGGCGAAAGCCTAGGCGGCGTATGACCTACAACCTTATCCCAACCCTGACCACTCCCTCAGGTTAGGTTCAGGTTAAGGTAAATGGGAAACACATATAACAGGGAAACAGACTTAACCACAGGTATTAGTCCATGAACCTTTGTTCCAGAACTGTACTGGTTTGTTTTTGTGTGTTTTCTTGAACTGCAGTTTGTTGTTTTTGAGGGGGTTTGATCTTGTGGTGAATCCTCTGAGGTTCTGATCATGAAGTCCTCTCTTGATCACAGACAGGGAAACATGTCCGCCTAGTTCCTGGAGAACATTCTTGACTTGCTGTGAAGTTCTTTTACCATTTTCTAGTTTTCCTGTTCTTTCCTGTGTCCTGCTTTTTTTTTTTTGAAAGTAGCCAACTGACTTTGGCAAACCAAGTAACTCTGATATCTCTCTGATAGATTAGTGCTTTTTTGAGTCATTGTCATCATCACTTGCACGGTCACCTCTTTACTTCTCATACTGACAGACAACTCCACCTCAAGCTAAATGGTAACTCTCAACTCAGGAAACATCTCCTCCTTCTTGTTCATTGAAAAATCCAGAATCTGTGAAAATGCAACTATTGTTTATTTCAAAAGTTTAATTACTGGACACAAGATGCTTTTTATGTTGTCATTAAGTCAGTTCTAAGTGTCTGTGCACCGGAGGCTTCAAGTTTGCACATCACACTCACTCAAAATCATATTCATACGTATTCATTTTAGACTTAGGGAAGGATTTAAGGGAAGGACAGAGAGAAGGAAATCCATGGTTTTAATCATAGTAATATCCGTGTCATTTGGTCGCCTGTGGTTGTCTGACAGAGGATCAAAATGTACTTTTTATCCAGTTTTAAGTCACATTTATAAGATACACTTTTAAAAATCATGGTTGTTTTCATCTGTATTTTAACCAGATGAAGGATTTTAGTCATCGGACGACTGGATCTTAAATTATCAGAGAAAAAAGCCAGGCAAATGTTAGACAGCTCAGCTCCCAGCCCCTCCCTGACATCCTATCCATCGGACAGCATCGGAGAAACACCTATTTTTAATTTGAAACTGCTTTATTCAGTCCATTTATTCATTCCCTGGTCTGTGTGTTTTGGAGAGGACACCTCTGTGGATAATTCGGCTGCCGGTAAAAACCTCCTGAAAAATTGACTCCAAACCAGTAGAAGCTGCCAGCAATGGTGCTGAAGACAACAACTCCTGTGATCCCCAACTTCTCACCATCTTTTGTTATTGTTTTGATTGAAAGACCCCTAGCAGCAGAAGTTACATACTGGTTATAAAATGTTTTGTTCAACATTAACATTTTGTGACTTGATAATAAACAACATTTCCTCATTATGTTTAAAAAAAAAATAATCCAGATGGCATTAAATTTCTCTCGAAGACTACAGATAAGATCTTCTCGGATCTCCTCTAAACATCTTTTCTATTCTGCACACTGAAGTAACAATAGGCCTAAATAAAATTATTTTGAGTGGAGCGTCCCTTTAAATATCAAGCTGGAGCCAGGAGATAGCTAGCCTAGTTTAGTATAAAGACTGGAAGCAGATGGAAACAGTTAGCCTGGCTCTCTTCAAAGGTAACAAAATCCACCTTTAAAGTTCACTTTTTAACACTGTATCTCATGTCTGTCATGTGTGCATAACCAAAGTGTAAAAACAACAATTTATGGTTTTATAGGTTGCTTTGTGCCGAGCAAATTCTTGGCCTGGAGCAGAGACTTCCTGGACTCTCCAAATCTTCATGTTTATGATTATTATCCATTCATTCTTTATATCTCTCTTTCTGTTTTGACATATATTGCTGTTACTGTAAATCTGAAGGTCATATTGGGCTTTACGATGACTAAGCAAGATGAAGAGATGAAGGAGTGACCATACTCTCATCTCTGAATCTCACTGTGGACCAGTGTCATGCCTGTTAGTCTCTCTCTGTGTCTGTAGATTGATCTTAAAACCACAATATAACTGAACACTGAATATGGTGCTTGGTGTAATAGACTTGTTTGTGTGTGTGTGTGTGTGTGTGTGTGTGTATGTGTGTGTGTGTATGTGGAGTGTGACAGTATGGAGCTCCAACTGGTGATCCTAACTGGACTGTGAGGGGGGTTGGTGGGGTGGTTAGTGCCGGTCTATACTGAGCTGCTGGTGGCACCTGGTTTGCTCAGAGGAGATTATTACGTGTGTGTGTGTGTGTGTGTGTGTGTGTCTGTGTGTGTGTGTGTGTGTGCGCGTGTGTGTGTGTGTGTGTGCGCGTGTGTGTGTGTGTGTGTGCGCGTGTGTGTGTGTGTGTGTGCGCGTGTGTGTGTGTGTGTGTGCGTGCGTGTGTGTGTGTGAGTGATTGGGGTTGACAGCAGCCTCTGTACTGCTGGCTGGCCTGCAGATTTAGCCGACCTGTTTTAGACACTGTAATCTGGATTAACAGCAGCAGTGTGTCAGTGGGAACGATGAGCACAGCCTCCCCCACCCTCCCCCATCCTTCTTATGTCCCGTCCCTTCCCTCTGCGTACCTGCTCCCCCTCCTCTCTTCCTCCCCCTCCATCCACCTGACTTACATCCACTTGTTCTCTTTCTTATTTCCCATCTTCCTGAGTTTCCAGGCATCTGTCATCCCACAGTGAGTCGGACACTGACTCTGTTCAGTCTTAAAATAAAGCACTTGCTTGCATCATTGTGGATGTGTTTCTATGAGTCCAGCTTTAAGGGGGGGAAGGGCAGTCGGGCAGGGATTATGTGAGCTCAGTCCTCTTCCCTACTTCCCTATTTACTGTTGCAGCTGCAGGACGAGCTGTTCCACTGTTGGGTGAAGATTGAATCACCAGCATCAAAATCAAGTGCACAGTGTTTGTACAACACGTGAGATCTTTTTTATTAGAAAAAACAAGTCACAAAAAGACAGTACTTGGCATGATTTTGTAAAAGATCCCACCTCCCAATCCACATTTTGGCCTATGATCATCTGAATATTACTGCAATACTTCAATATAACAGATTGTCTTAAAACAATGAAAAAGTCATTTTTAAATACAATTCAATAATAGAAGAATAAAAAAAGTCAAGAACACATTTTGAATCAGTCATGATTTAAAGTCTGTCCAATTAAATCAGTTTTAAAAGGTTTGTCAGAGCATGATATCAACCCAGACTGTGCACAACTGAACATGGAGGTTTATAGAGCTCCCTGCATGCCTGGATGTATCTCAGTCTCTCCTTAGCTCTGACAGAACTGTAGTCCAGGAAAACAAAGTGGGACTACAGGAACTGCATGTTTACCATATGTAAAACTGATTCCTGCTTCCAGTTGTAGGTTTTCATCAGGTGCAGCAGCTGTCTCCTCACTCTGAATGCTCTGTCCAGGTTGTGCTCTCCTTTCCTCCTTGCACCTTAGAGTCTTCCTGTCACCACATTTTCTACCTTCTGATTTTTTCTTGTCTTTCTTTTTTCCCCGTCCACAGACAGACTCATCCATTTCCATTTCGTGTGTCTCTCCAGCCTCCTTTCCTGCTCCACCACTGAAAGGATTGCTCTGTCTTTCCTCCCTTTATCTGGAGATAAGATACTTACTTTTCAGATAAAGCATATTATGATAAATCAAATGAGCTTTGTCAGTTTTGTGCATCTGGGTGTTTGTGTGCATGTGTGTGTGTGTGTGTGTGTGTTTGTGTGTGTGTGAACATGTGTGTGAACGTGTGTGTGATCGCAGCATGTGTGTATGCAGCTGTTTTGGAGATAAATGTAATCTGTCAATTACGTGTGAATGTATGAAGTACGGCAGATGTGCAGCAGGTGAACTGATCATTGGAAGGAAAAAGGGAAAGAAAGATTTTAGGACGTAATAAGAACTGAAAAGAAATTATTGTTTTCAAAAATCTTATCACTTGTGTGAAATAGAAATTCTTGTTATTGCCTTTGTTGTCTCTACTCAAACAGCTATTTGAGAAATTTCAAAAATGTTTTGTGGAAGGTTTACAATACTTAAAATAAGGCAGATAAAAAATCAACATCCAAAAAACAATTTTTTAGTCACATAATGTAAATTATATTTTTGTTGTTCATGAAAATATGGAATTATTTATATCTGGGACGTCAGACAATATAATAAGAAACTTTGTGTGAATACAGCTTGTATCATTATATAGCCTGTTGCTTTGGATATTTGTGTGTGTGTGTGTGTGTGTGTGTGTGAATGGGGTGTTGGTGCGGTGCGCGCGCGTCCTGCGTGTGCGAGTACACTGCAGAAGATAAAAGGATACGATGCGTACCGTTTTACTAAGCGCACGCAGGGTACCAGAGTGCGTGATAACGTGTAGTGTCACTGTGTGTGTGTGTGTGTGTGTGTGTGTGTGTGTGTGTGTGGGGTGGGAGGGGCTTTGCTGGAGCCACTTGCTCCCTCTAATTAGCAGCGTGTGCCGGTAAAGAAACTCAGTGGAGCGACTTCACCAAGGCGCAAAGGCACTCGGGGGCCACTTCACCTGTGTGATGACTTGACTGTGTGATATCCGACTTGGAGAAGCAGTTTGGATGCTCAGCGCGCTGCATTGTGCTCTGCTGCTACGCTGACAGAGAGTACGAGCTGAAAGTGCAGTTTAAAAAAAAAGAAAGAAAGAAAAAAACACTTCAGGTTTCTGTGGTGAAGTCCCGCGTCTCTCTGCAGCGGGGTGGTGGTGGTTCCGACGCACCGACTTGTTGTCCCAGCTGAGCTGTGAGGGGCCCTCGGCTGTTGTGTTGCGTGTCCGACCTACAAGTCAGCGACAGGACTTAAAAGCCCGCTGTAAGGATGATGTCCTACATAAAGCAACCCCATTACACCATGAACGGGTTAAATTTGCCTGGCCCCGGAATGGATGTGCTTCACACAACCGTCGCTTATCCATGTAAGTACAAACTGGTACATATATATATATATATTTGTATTGTACAGATATAATGTATGTATATATGTATAGCCTATTTGTTTGTTCTTCTTTTAGTTTGTGATTTATACCTTTACGCATTTGTCTCCATGTTCTTTAAAGTATAAAATCCATCCTATAAGATGCGTAAAAACGCGCAGACAGACGCGTAATGCTGTAACCAAACGAAAAATAAGTTAGAATGGGATCAGTTTGTTTAGTGAGAGCCCGTGTAATGATTTAAAAAAAAAGTTTGGTTAATAATGATGAGATGGTAAAATATAACTTATTATATAATTGTGACTGTTACATTGATTTGAGCCAAAAAAAAACTATTTCAGGGTAAGTTTCGTTTTAGGAGATGATTTGATGAAAATTTTATCTCTTTATTTACACATTACTCTGCTGTCGTAGATGTTTTAGTACAGACACGTTTGTTAATACGCAGATACATTCAACCTACAGTGATGTTAAAGCGCAGATTATCTGAGCTCCCTCCTCGCTTCAGTGTCAGGAATGAGCTTTGACATGTTCTTTTTTCTTTTTATGTTTTTCACTTTTTCTCTCAAGGGGTCTGAAATGTTCTCACATTGATGACACCCAGATAAATATAGACTGACTGTAGATGGAGTCACTGACTGGCTAAATGCTAAATTCTCGTGACAAAATCCATCCATTTTGTCACTATACTTGTTCTGAACAAATACAACTTGGTGTTTGACTGGGCTGTGTGCCATGGAAGGCAGAAGGTAAAATCATGCCTCTGTGTGTACAAACTATAGGCGAATAAAATGTAGTAACTATTATGATCATTTTATGAGAAAGTGATTTTTGTCTCCATCTTGGTGACAAGCAGCTGGCGGGATGACACTGTATTATAAAGTAATGTGAGGTTTTCATCAATATTTTTGTTTGTGGTCAGCCTCACATACATACGGCTGGAAAACAACAAAATGTTCTCTTCAATAACTCTCTATTAAAATAAGATACATATCATCCACAGTCACTGTGAGCTGTGCTCATAGATCATGTCATCTCCCTGTTGCTGCCAGTGAAATAATCCCCTCGCTGTGTCTTTTTGGGTTTGCAGCCACACCCCGGAAGCAACGTAGGGAACGCACAACCTTCACGCGGACACAGCTGGACATCCTGGAGGCGCTGTTCTCCAAGACCCGCTACCCAGACATCTTCATGAGGGAGGAGGTGGCCCTCAAGATCAACCTGCCTGAGTCACGTGTGCAGGTACTGGCGAAGTAGGCTACAGTCATGATGGAGGCCATATTGTTCAGTGTTTGTAGGTTACATACAGTGAAACTAGACATGTTAAGATCTTCTTCAACAAGGGTACAAACTTATTCAACAGAGGAAGTACAGCAGTGTATTTCTTCCATCCTATCCTATCATATGTCAAGTATCACTTCAGTTACATAAGTCACAATCGTCCTTTTATTTGCATCTCCTGACACATAACATGCTAACATGTTTCATGTTTTTCTTTGCATCTCCAGGTTTGGTTTAAAAACCGTCGTGCCAAGTGCCGTCAGCAACAGCAGCAGAGCAGTGGCCAGTCCAAGCCCCGCCCTCCCAAAAAGAAGGCCTCTCCAGTGCAGGAGCCCAGCGCCCCTGATCCTGTTCCTAACCCATCTAGCTCCTACAGCCCATCCTCTGCCCAGTCAGGCCCCAGCCTGGCGCCAAGCTCCAGCGCTGGAAACACTGCCGTGTCCATCTGGAGCCCAGCCATCTCGCCCCTGCCCGACCCCCTGGCCTCCTCCTCGGCCCCTTGCATGCAGCGGCCCTCACCTTACCCCATGAGCTACGGCCAGCCATCAGCTTACACCCAAGGCTACGCCAGCACCACCTCCTACTTCACCGGCTTGGACTGCAGTGCCTACCTGTCCCCCATGCACTCGCAGCTGTCAGGCACCGGGGGCGCTCTCAGCCCGATCACTGTGCCCTCAATGGGGGGCTCCTTAAGTCAGTCTCCAGCCTCACTGTCCTCACAGGGCTACAGCACAGCCTCCTCCCTGGGCTTCACCTCTGTTGACTGCCTGGACTACAAGGACCAGCAGGCCTGGAAACTGGGCTTCACCACAATGGACTGCCTGGACCACAAAGACCAAAACTCCTGGAAGTTCCAGGTGCTCTAGAAAGTGAGAAATTGTGGCGTTGATGTGTGTCAACATGTCGTGTGTCAGTGAGTCCCATGTGAGGTAGTGTGAGGCGGTTCTGCCGGAGGACTTGTCGTCTTTGATTCTCAGTTTCATGTTTGTAAGATTTTGTTTTATTTTCTAAAGGTGACCTCTGTAGCAACGCATTTTATTTGAAAGACTTTGGGGATGCGAGGACTGTGAGTGACAGTGACTGTCATTAATGCTGCCTGACTGCACATCATGTCTGTTGTCCTCTTCATGCTACGTTATCTAAGAGAACAAACGCCTTTAAAGAGCTTGTAGGAGAAGACTGGAGTCCTACGTCTGGAAACACACTGAGCCATCTCTCCTTCTGACATCAGCCACATGAACACAACACTTGTTCATTTTGTTTTAAACCTGCATTACCATATAGTGAAAGGAGAACTGCTTTAATTTGAAGGGGCTCTCAAGTCCTGTAGGTCACTCCTTCTTTCAGGGTTGATTTATTGTAAGCTATTTATTATTATTTTATTCTACACTTAAATATGTAATTTGGTTGCGTTTAGATCTTTTTGAGCGTTTGTGTTGCGTATTACAGTGTTAGCCCTTAGTGTTATCATTCTGATCTGTTCATGGAAAAAATTAGATCTTCTGTTTTAGTTGTGTGATTTATTAAAGTGATTTATTCTTTACACTGTCGTGTAGTGATAATCATTGAGATTCTGTGCTTTGAAATGAATTCTAGTTTGTGTTTGCGAGTTGATAGCTGGTTCATAGCAGTTACAAACTGACCCGCAGTGGAGAGGTCAGTGTGAAGACTGGACACAGTGGATGTAAAGTGGCCATGTTGTGGTCATGTCTGGACCCGAGCCGTCATGTTCGTCATATGGCCTGCATGGCCCTCACTGGCCCATCTTGGTTATTTTAGCTTATCTGATTCTGGGAGTGTCCCAATCCTCTTAGCCTCCCTTCAGCAATGCCCTAAGTGAATTAGTTAGGATTATTGCCCTATCCCCCTCTGTCTCCCTCTGTCTCTCACCCATCTCACCCACCTCGGCCTCTTCCTCCCCTACCTTTCCTGGCTCTCTCCTCGCTCTTCTCCTCCATCTTTTCTATCTTTGTCCATCCATCTTCCCTCACTCCGTCTCTCCAACTCTGCAGTATCTCTTCTCTCTACCTCCTCAGGATGTGAGGCCGTCGGCCCAGAATAACACCCATAACATCTGAATCACTGACAACAATGAAGTTCATTAAAGCCTTTTTACTACAGTTGTTTTCATTAATTGTTCAGTTTCTCAGATATGTTATCAGCTCAGTGGTTCGCATTTTTCCACCCCAGCCCCCCACCACTCCACCAATCTCCCCAACTCCTCTGACTACTTGGTAATCCTCACATGACCTAATTACTGCCACGCAAACTTAACTATGACATCAAATATGTGAAAATATTTCGCTGACGTGTGTGTGTTTTGTTTGTTGTGGGAGTTTGTGTGGAAGGACGATCAGATAGGATTGATTCTCAGTTACCAAACAAATGCTGCCAACACAACAAAGACATTTCACAGCCGTCTCATGAATCCATGACATATTTTGTTTTTAAAGATAAGTTGAATTATAAATTTGTAATTTTAGCTCAGTTATCATAAAATCATCAATAAATCTAACCTAAAGTCTTGATTGTCTTGATCAGATTACATTTTTACAAGTGATATAAATACTTCTTAACAGCTAAATTAATATGAAAGTCTTGAAGAAGAAGAAGAATTACTCCTGAGAAATTCCTAATGTAATTGTGATATATATATAAAAAGAAAAACTAGTTTTGTTTTTGTTGCTATGTAAATCATATCTCACCGTATCCAAACATTTTTATTGTAACTTCAGATCTGCTGCACTGAAAGGAGTAAACGGGAACCGAGAGACATTTCAAAGCATTTTTCTGCACTCAACACTGACCTAATCCCACTCTGTGCCCGCTTTAATCCCTCTGCCCTCCCTCTCTGTGGTGTGATTGGTTAATCCTTGCATCCGTGTGCCCTGGTTGGTTAACCTCTCTTGGAGGGTGCAGTGCACTTGTAATCTTCCCCCTCAGCACTGAGAGTTTCAGACAGACATTTGCGCTGTAATCCCGGGGAGGAGCAGATGTGATGGGGGATGGACAGCGCTGAGCAGACCTTGAGGAAGGTGAACGCAGCAAAACAAAAACACAGCACAGTCTGAGAAGGAAAAAGCTTCAGCTCCTGGTTTCCTTGAACTAACAATCATTGAAAATGAAAAAAGAGAAATGTCTTCAAAAAAACTCAAACATTGGGTAAAAGTAAGCTACAGGTCAGTAACAGCAACAGCTTGATTTTATCTCAAAGCTGTAGAAACCCAGCAGCTGTAACAGAGAAGAGCAACAGATGTTTTACATTTTCATTCACCAGGTACACTGACTCCTCCACGTGTACGGGAAGTGATGAAAAAATATTTAACACACTCGAAAGTTCCCTTACTACTACAGGACTGACCCATGAAGCAGCATCTGATTACTAGATTATTAGTCTCTAAGCTATTAGCTGTCATTAGCAACAAAGTGCTAAATGTATTAAAATTGTGAACATTTTATTGTTGATGCTGTTGTTCAAACAAACTTCTCTGCAGAAATTACAATAAACAGTATATTAATTATTATCCAAAGGCTTTATAATACCTGCCTGACAACTCCTGCTCTTTCTCTCTTCATGTTTTCCAGACAGCTTTTAGCATCTTTCAATGACTGATTTAATGATTGTTGCACTCAGCTGTGTAAGAAATATTTGGATGCTTTATTTAAACAGAAGTACCAGCACCAAGATGTAACAACACCTCCTTACTAATAAAAGTCTTGCATTCAAGTATTTACTGCAGGAACAGTACAGGGGTATAATCAGCAAAACTATAAAAGTAAAAGTACTCACAACTCTCTGTCAGTTTACTGTAACAATGCAGTGGAACTTTTAAAAATGTTCATTATATATATTTTATTTATTATTCTGCTGCTGGAATAGAAAGTACAATAATTCCCTCTGAAACGTGGTGGAGTAGAAGTATAAAGTTGTATAGAAGTAAACTGTACTGAAGTCCAGTGCCTGAGCAAATGTCTTTACTTTTCACCAGTGGTTGCTGTCATTAACAAAAGATAAATAATGGTATAATAAATAATAGTGGAAACAGTTCATTTTTTCCTATTCAGAGAAAACAAAGCAACGTGAGTGTGCAATCATTTTTCTGTCCAGGGGTGTAGAGTCTGCTCTGGCAGAAATGTGTCCACCAGAGGGCAGTGACTATCCTCGCCACGTCTGAGTTTCCTCTGAAGGAATTTCAGCGTCAGTGTAAGTAAAGAAGACACTGAGTGTTTTACTTTATATTCCTTTCCTACAAGAAGTTGTCACTTATCAATGCAGAAATACATTTCAGTTATACTTTTAAAAATGAGAGATTTTAAGAGAGAATCTACAGCATTGCCTTTGAGACATTTCACCAAAAATCAGATCCATCCTGTTGCTCTGCTAGTACACGTTCTAGCAATAACAAGATGGTCTTAAAATATATGCTGGAGACCACAAGGAAATATTACAAGCTTTATTTCATTTATTTATTGATTTGTAAATATTTCCCAGCTCCAGATTATTCTGACTCAAGTTGGCCTCTGATGTGAGCCAAATGATCAATGATATTAAAATGATGTCTTTAATGCTTCAGTTAAACTGGGTGGAACTGAATTATTTTCATAGAAAACTGTCTTTCAGTGTGTTAATTTGTGTTACAATACTCTGACACACCCAGCTATAGATACAGTGTACTGATTAAAAGCAATGTGTTGGGAGAGCATGTGGTCTACACAATAGGGTAGGTTTAGATTATCTTTCAGTCAGCACTGACACAATGAAACAAATACACTATAAATCCTATTTGCAAATGTGCCAAGCTATTGTCATTTTCCACATTAGTTTCCAGTGATTTATTACATAGAAGACAGACAGCTGGAGTATGTGCAGCGGCTGTGGTTTAAGACCTTGTTCAAGGTTTCCCCCATGTGGCTGTTTAGTTCTCATACATTGATAGAAACTGCAGCACATTGCAGTCACTCACATCCAGCCTTTCTTTTGGAAAGCCACTGTGGCATTAATGCCTCAAAGAAACTTTGTAAATAAATCCCACCAACTCGCATTACTTTGTTTTAACACCTATTTATTACCACCATAATATGAGAAATTTGGAAAATACAAAGATCAGCTTATTTATACGTCTGAAAATCTTGAGGAATAAGAAAAATATAAAAGAAAACAAATATGAGGTTATATTGTGTATCACAAATTTTGAGAAAGGGAACAGATTATATGCTCAGATCTACAGAGAGTACAGGAGACACAGACCCATAACATGCAGAGTGTAACTTTCACTATAATGTCATTCATACTGTTGTGACAAGTCTAATGCCTATCTGTGGTGAGAGAGCGAGAGAGAGAGAGAGAGAGAGAGAGAGACAGAGAGAGAGAGAGAGAGACAGAAGTATAATATTTGATGACTGATCTACAGTGAACAATTAAATTGAAGAGACGAGGAGATGGTACACCATCGCCCCGGTGTGGCTGCCATTAGAACAGAAGTTGCCTTGGAAAACAAAGAAGCCCTTCCTGATTTTCTATAACAAATCAGATCACTGTAAAAAAACAACCTGACAACCATGTTGACAATTTCAATTGTTTTTTTTCTCTTGTTTTGATGATTTTGGAAGTGGTAAAGGAAGAGATGCTCATCCATGACTCATATGCGTAAAAAAAATAGACACCATATCCACAACGATAATCAATATTCTTAAGCAACCAAGAGATTCTTGTTTGTTGAGTACAAGTGGTTTGGAAGATCAGAGCTCACACATCCACACAAACGGACCAACAGATCAGTGTCCCCTCCCAGTGCAGATCACAGGGGTGAAGGAGGTGAACCAAAATGGTACAGCGAGCCGTCACGCTGCAGCTGCAGAGTGAGAGGGTGGTTGGGGTGTAGAGGGACGGACTGGGTGGGAGGGGAGGAGGGTGTTCAGATGGGCAGAGGCCTCAGGACTAGTTTTAATAGCACCCTGCTGTGGAAGTTGCAGCTCCCCTTAAGCAGACTAGCCCCTCGGCCACATCCCTCTGCTTTGGCTCTGTTTGCCACACAAACTGCACCTGCCGACCTCCCACACTAGAAAAATCCAGGTGAGCTCAAGGATGGGCTTTGTGTTTTGAAGTGCCACCCAAACCAAGTGATGCCTGTTTGAGCATGTGTGCACATGTGTGTCTGATCTACTAAACCTTTTACATGCACAAAAAAGGTACCCTAAAACATTTGGTGAAGACAAAAAACCTATGAGAGACCAGACTTCAACATATTTCTATCGCTTCATAATCAGGATTACTCTAAAGTCTACTGAGAAGCTGGGCAGGCTGGGGAGAGAGGGTGATTGGGATGGGTGGAGGTGGGTGGGTGGGGTAGAATCAAGGGAGGAGGAGGGCAGGGACAGGTAAAGAAAAACAGGACAGAAGTGAAACATTAGGGAGGCTGTTTAAGCGCGCTCTCCACGGATGCGGCGTGCCAGCTGGATGTCTTTGGGCATGATGGTGACACGCTTGGCATGGATGGCACACAGGTTAGTGTCCTCGAAGAGACCCACCAGGTACGCCTCACTGGCCTCCTGCAGGGACAATTGCAAGAGAATTGTGTCAGTGACACTATTGTGTATTTATTAATATATTGTGCGCACGCACACAAGCACACACACACACACACACACCTGCAGGGCTCCAATGGCGGCACTCTGGAAACGCAGGTCAGTCTTGAAGTCCTGAGCTATCTCCCTCACCAGACGCTGGAACGGCAGCTTACGGATCAGCAGCTCAGTGGACTTCTGGTACCGACGGATCTCTCTCAAAGCCACGGTACCGGGCCTAAAACACAACACAACCAAGCTTTAGTTCAATACACCACTTTTGATAGTTAAATAGCTCTAACTTTACAAAATGATAACTAATGTGTCTGATAAATGACAACCAAAAAAAACAATTTGCACAAGATGAATTTAAACTGCTGGAAATAAGCTGAACAGGTCAGAAATCATCCTCCGAAATAAATATTGCTTCCATTTGAAGTTTACCTGTAACGATGGGGCTTCTTCACACCACCGGTGGAGGGGGCGCTCTTTCGTGCAGCCTTGGTGGCCAGCTGCTTACGAGGAGCTTTTCCTCCAGTGGACTTACGAGCAGTCTGCTTGGTACGAGCCATTACAACAAGGTATCACCTGAAGAGAACATTGAAAGAAGAAAAACATACATCACCATGTTCATACTATAGTTTTTATTTTTTCTCCCTGGCCTTAGAGCTGCAGTTTTGATTACGCTCTGATTATGCCATTACATGCTCTAAGAACTGTTCAGTTATTCATACATTTCCATGCTATTATCATGGGCACAATGATGTTATCATAGGCACTATAACTCTTGTCAAATGTTCCATCTAAGCTAACAGTCAGCTGACCTCACTTTAAAAATAACCCTTGTGTAGCTACATGTGAACACTTACATGTTTACAACCCAGAAACTAACGAAAAGCAGTAAAAGGTTGTTAGACAAGTCAAAAATATAAATTAATACTTCAATAACTAATACTGATAAATAATCAAATGAAGTGTGAAAACAAATGTCAAGTTTATACTTTTACCTTTTCTTCCAAATAGTTGATAAACAAAAATCACAACTTCCAAAATTAGACTCTTCTATTCATCTTTCACAACCTCATCGTATTTTTCAATTAATAAGTGGTCTTTTTTTGGCCTAAGCACACATTTAATGCTTTATTCCCTAATTTCCGCCAAGCAACACTTTTCCTCATAAAGTATGTCTCACTGGCCCAGCCCAGAGTAAAAATTTATATTTCTTTTACAATCCATTTTAATGATATTGTGACATTATGGTTGCATTTTTGACTCATCTGGTCACATTTTATTGCCATTAGCGGGTTTGGGGATTTTGGTGATATTATGATGTTATGATATTAAACGCAGGGTTTGAAGAACTTTGTCTGCTGCTTGTTATTATTATTTCTTCCTGCCAATGACCCAAATATCGACATGAGATTCAGTCTCTTGTCAATTTTCTGTCTTCCTTTACTCAGCTGGTTGAGTGTTTTGTCCCCCCCCCCCCAGCTGAAAGTCTGTAATATTAGTCAGACAGAGCCGCCAGGGAAAACTTTTCCTCCGCTTTGGCAGCTGCACAAACACAGCACACCGAGCCAATCCAGACCCCGGGTACTCGCAACCACACCAATCACACCGCTGAACAGGTCATCACTCGGAAATACACCAATCCGCTGCAACCGTGTCGTATCTAAGAACCAATGGGATTTTATTCTGCAGGATCTTGGGGCGGGACCAGTAACCTTAGCTCCGCCCCATACCGCAAGATTATGGCCGCAGACCCGAATGGAGCTACAAACATACTGGCATTGACTGGGACGTAAACTTTGACATTTTCCCACAAAAACTCAAAACGTGTGAACACAAGACTACCAATAAAATGTAGTAGACGAGTGTAGTTATCAAAAAACCGTCACAGGCGTATGAAGCGATGTTGTATTAAAGCGAAGAGGCGACATAGAAACCGTCACTGAAAGTGGAGCAGATATTTGAGCGGTGGAAGTACTGTGCCGTTCTTCTCTCTGCCTGAGTATCGGGGCAGCTGCTTTTTGTCCCTCAACACAGCGTCGAAATAAAACGCGATTTCAGCACAAAAACAACTTCATCTGAGTGATTTTCTTCTCTAAATTGTGAATAATATACTGTGGTTCAAAAAGTGTAAGAAAAATTTAACTTACCGGGGGTGAATTTAACGCCTTTTCTTCGCAAGGATACAAGTGTGTTGTGCTTGTCTGGCAGTGTCAGATATTTACTATCTCTCACACAATGGAAGCAGAGAGAGCAGGAGCAAAATGGCGGCCGTGTCAATCATCTGTCTCCCATAATGCAACTGCCAACATTTGTAAACATTGAAACTTCATTTCTTCAGCTGGAACTTTTTAGTAGCAAACGTTGATGCTTTTCAATACAGTATGATATTATCGTCCTAATGCAAAAAAGTATAATTTTATTATTACTATTATGTCATTATTTGATGTTAGCCATATGTGTTGGCTCTTTTTGACGACCGCGTTAATTTCTTTCACCATCTATACAAATACAAATTACACGAACAAGCAGAAAACTTAATATTAAGAAATGCAGGCACAATATATTGGCATACGATATGCTGTAGAAACAATAAAAGAAAATGAACGGGAGCAAGTAAAAATAAAGTGGATTAGCCAAATTACTTATACATACGACATACAATGAAAATACAATATATTTTGACCAATGGTGGTAAGCACTATTCTACTTGAGTACAGTTGGAGTAGTTGGAGGCACTTGTACTTTACTTGAGCATTTTTATTTTATTTACTGTTTAGAGGCAAATATTCTGCTTTTACTCTGCTACACTTTGGTCGCAATTTCAAAAATGTTCTTGCACACTCACAGTTGTTTCCTTCCCGTTTTAACTATATTCTTTTTAAAGTTATAGGTATTAGTTACGTAGCAGACGAATATTATTAATGCATATTATTTTCAACAAATAAATTATGATGTATTATTATAAATTAAACTACCCGGCAGTATATATAGAGTGGGTATTAGCTCCACATTTAAGTGATGTCTACATTAATGCATCAATAATTATAACATAAGACGTTTTTACTGTGGTATTGCTACCTTTAGTTAAGTAGAAGACCTGAGCACTTTTTTAGTTTAATGTTCAATATTAATAAATACAAAATAGTAGAATGTAATAGTAAATTATAAACGTGATCAAGTTAACAAGATCCTGCAACTGGGTTAACAGATAATTTTTTTTAAACAGATTATGTCAAAATGTGTAAATAGAGGAAAGAAAGAAAATAAAGAACAAAGTACAATTTTCCAACAAAGCTGAAACACAAGGATCCATCTCAAATTTATATTTTTGATGCAAAACAGGATTCACTGTGTGTGTGTGTGTGTGTGTGTATATATATATATATATATGTGTATATAAAATATTACAGTGGGTCTCCTCTACCTTTGGAGCAACTATTTTTAATTGATTGCTTCCTCTTTGTTACATGCCTTGTTTTTCTGTATTGTGTTGTTTGAATTAATACAACTAGAGCACATGCCTTTGTTTTTAGTAATGTTGGTTTGAACTGAATTACTAAAAATATTGTCACTTGCCTTATTTACAGAATTTGATTTGATTTAAATAAAAAAAGTTTTTAAAGTTTTTAAAGTTTTTTTTTAAACCCTTTACATCAGGACACATTAATGTGCTAAAAACAGTTATTATATGGATCCATTTTTTCATTGTAGTCACCACTCAGTGTCCCATGTCATGCCAGCTATGTCAGAGTAACGGTTTATCCATTTGTGCACCTTAGTCTGGATTAAGTGGCAAAAGAAAAGAACAAACAATTAGTGTAGAAAATTGTTAACAAAATTGGAGGTTTTACTTAAGCCTGTAAGTGTGTAGAGATGAAAACAAACATTTGAATTTCTGTATCTACATTATTACAGGAGTCATAGATGTATCACGAGAATGATAAATAAATGAAATGAAATACGATTTTCTGAAATATATCAAGTGAACTGGTGTTTTACCTCCCTGATCACCATGATATGAAAGCAAGGAAGGTAAGAACATTTAGCTGCAATGCATGAGCTCAGGTCAAAACCACGATCAAAGGTAATGTTCTTGTGATGGCATCATCATTTCTACATATTCCAGTTCATGTAGAGGAGCTACATGCTGTAATAAGTCATTCTGACATGAAGGTTATGCCGCAAGCTCCACACCGATGTTGACAAGCTGCTCTGATTCATAACCAACCTTCATAGTTTGATGAATGTTTGACCCTTTGAACAGTCATAAAGCCCCGGATCGGCCTCTTTTTAAAAAAAAAAAAAAAATTCTATCTCCTATTCTCTATTTGAAAATACATGTGGAATTCTGTTTAGTCATGTGGACTCACATCATCACCTAAACAGCACAGGTGCACGTATGATTCAACCTGCAGGATGCCATGTGTAACGAGGTGTCGGAACCAATTCATTTTGTTAGTAATTTAGTATATATATATATATTATATATATAATACTGTATCTTCACCATAATAACGTCTATGCTTGCAAATGGTTTTCTTCCCTCCACCAGAATGAATAATTTGGAAGTTAGGCAGGGAAAGCAAGTTGAAACAGGTGAGTTTTGAATGAGATTAGCAAGGTAGGGAGGAGTAAAGCTATCGAGGGCCTTGTAGGTACTAAGGAGCATTATATGTTTAACCCAGAATTTGACTGGGAGCCAGTAGAGTCTTGCAAAACCGGAGAGATGGTGGTCATTATTGACTTCAATGAGGACTGCTTCAGTGCTGTGTTTTGGGGCAGAATCCAGTTTGAAATGGTTCATGTAGGTCGTCTGGTCTTGTTAATGCACAGTAAAATGTGTGTCAGCATAGCTTTCCACTGATATTGAAAAATAGACAGTCTGGGAAGAGGAAGGAATGACAGTTCACAGAGCACTTAATTTTCTCAAAGCAGCACTCAGGGATCATGTCACGCTACTGTAACCAAAAATTATTGAGGATAAACTCTTTCCTCTTTCAAAGATATTTTAAAGAAATTACTTTTTAACCTCCTGAAGTTAGGCTTAATGACAACTACTCAATTGTGTCTCCTGCAGTAAATTTTGTTGTCAATTCTTAATTCTATCCTTCAAGAAACTGTCAGACAGAACCAAACAGAGATGTATTAGAAACATCGTGCACATATTAAAAGACGTGGATTATAGCTATTCCTGAACAGTTTTATTTGTTTCATATCTAACTTTAGATACCTCTAGTTTGAGACAAGAGTGTTTTCACATTCAAGTACACAGTGCCTTACTTCAACACCTCATCTGAAAAGGTAGAGGCTTTAGATAAGGCAAGAGGAGCAAAACCTGCAAGCGATATAGAAGTCAAACAGTTACAGAGTACAACCTGGATTTAGACATATTTGAAACATATTGTAATCCTTAAATTATGTTGAACCAAAAAGGGCATGTAGTATAATGCCAGATGAATTTACTACACAATTGATTTCCAGCCTGAAAAAAAAAATGCCCCGGATATCTTTAAAAAAAAAAACAAAAACAAAAAAACATTCCCATCCCTCATTGTTTTAAATTCAGAACCAGTGAGGCGATACAAAACTTAATAACCCCAGTCACCTGCCACCCCTGAACTGTCAAGAATCATCAAAAGTGATCTTAAATGTAACTATCACAATGTTTGTTCAGTATGAAAACAGGCTTGTATGACAATGACAGTAAACAAAATAAGGTCTGTAGGAACAGAATTTAAGGCTCGTCACTAAGTTGTTGTCGTTGTTTTTTTCACAAAGCAGCGGCAACATGTTCCTCACCCCGTCGTTTGAGAGGACATTTGTTTTCAGCTTTGTTCAGTTAGTCCAGTTCATGAAAGTACCTTGAATGTGATGAAAAAAAAAAAGAAAAGAAAAATAACCTCTTACAGTTCTAAAGCTACAGCACGCATACATCCACCTCACCGTCTTTATCCCATTATGTGCAACAACTGCGCCAAGTCATTTGGTCCCTCTTCCACTGAAGAACAGACAAGTACCAAAACATTCCATTAGAAGTCATTGAAATCTGTTTATAGCAAAGTTACGTAAAAATGGCACAGTCACAGACAAAATAAGACATTGATAACCACTATATTAACTGAAAGTAACCCATTGCAGCTCCTTGTCAAACCTCACGCTCAGTTGGATTCTTCAAGACAAACATGGACACACTGTGCCGCCTACTTGTGTACATATTGGCTGAGGGAGGGCGTGATGACCTACATGTTTACTCCTTCAAAAGCTTGTGCTGTAACATCCAGAAAGAACGCAATGGATAGTGAACTACATAGAACTGTTCTGCAAGAGATAAAGACCGCATGCATTTCTAAAATGCAAACCTTAATCCAAGTTGATGCTTATACCCAGCGCCACACCTAAAAAAAACAAAACAACAAAATACAACTAAAAATCCCTTTTCACTACAGATTCTATTCTTATATATATATATATATATATATTGTATATATATATTTTACATTTTTGTGGTGCCTGCTGAAAGTACCTTACGTCTTTCATATCATATACATTTATGACTACTGTCTCAATCAATCACAATAATATGACCTCTTGGACAGTAAATTCAGGTACATTCAGGACTTTCTGTAAAAAGTCTTACAATTTTCTTTACAATTCATTAAAAATACAGAGGAGCAAAAATATTGGTGATACGACAGTCCACTGTCCTGCAGAGGCTGCTCACTAGAGCTCACTAGAGTCTTTCTTCAACACAGCTAAAGATAATTTCACACGTTTCTCCCCTTCAACACTTCACTCAGTACGTATTTCTGTCTCTGGCCTCTGCAGAGCCAGGTCAGTCTGGATAAAGGCTCCCTGGCCCAGTGCTGTGGAGTACGCTCTGTTGCTGTGGCTCACCGAGAATCCTGGGGCGGGATAGGAGCCGGAGCCTCCACGTTTTTGAACAGGGGCCTGAGGTTGAGGTACTGGGTGGTAATCGTCCAAGTTATCATAGTGGGACTGCACCGTTTTACTGCTGTGTTTCTGATACGAGTAGTCTCTGTCCAGGTCAGGTTTGCCCTGGTTGTAGTGCTGCTGCTCTCGGACGCTGTGTGATCGCTCTGGTTTGGAGCGGGTGAGTTGTTCCCTGGGCGCTGATGGCTGGTCGTCTGTACTGTGGTAGCTGCTTACTGTTTTCACTTTACTCTGGTGGTGGTCAGAATCAGAGCACTCGTACCGTGGTTGGAAGTTCCTCTTGTTGGGATACTCCTGCTGCCAGTGTTTGGACCTGCTGCCGTCTCCACCCAGCTTATCGTCTCCAGTCTCGTACTTGGCCTCGTGTCGGCCGCTCTCCTGCTGATGGGAGAGACTGTGGCTCAGAGTAGCAGGAAGGGAGTGAGAGGATTGGCATTTTTTGGAACTGCTTTGCTTGGCAAGTCCATCAGACTTTTCACCCACTACACTGCCCTGGACATGCTTGTCAGTCTCCATGTACATGAGGACGTCAGGGTCTGACACCATGTGTCTGGGGAGGTAGCGGCCATCTTTGCTCTCGGCTGCAATCAGCACGCCTTTACCTGGGTCAGATTTACTGCGCAGGTGCAGGGTCTCATAGCCTGATATATCTGCTGGTGTGAACAAGCCGACGTTGTCGTACTGAGAGAGGACAGGGCCTTTAATCCTCTGCCTGGCCCTGCTCTCTCTGCGGATGGAGTGCACGCGGAGCCTTTCTGACTCCTCGGGGTCCCATGAGAGGTAAGCAGCAGCTTCCTTGGTCCCATGGCTAGGGGGCATGTCCCTGCTCACGAAGCTGTGCTCCTTCCCAGGTGGGAGAACGTGGCGAGCAAGGAAGTGGTACCCAGTCGCTTTTCCACCCTGTCGACCGGCAGCAGCCCCCGGATCTCGGTTGCCGTGGGAGTGGAAGTGCCGGATTCGGATGGTGCCGTAAGGGTCAATGTCATAGTAAGGTGCCTCCAAAGGGCTTGAACCGGAGTATGGGCTATAGCGATACTGGACCCGCCCGTTCTCAAAGTAAGGCTGCAGCTGAGTGACGTGGTAGTCGGTCTGTGAGGACTGCTGCGGGGGCTGCTGGTAGGCTTTGCACTGATAGATGGGCCGGTGGTAGAAGAACATGTCATCATCTGGAGGAACCTCAGTCCTCTGGATGGGCACTGAGCGGACAGTGGAAGGAACATGGAGTGAGTGTACTCTGCGGATGGTGGGATAGCCGTGGGTTCTATCATGGCTATAACCCGGATGCCCTGGCCCCGGAGTCATGAACACATTGCGGGGGTTTCCTCTGGACTTTATGGAGTGGTGGTAAGACCTCGGGCCTAAAGTGCTGTATCTGTTGTCCACTCTGGCACTGTAAGGTATCTGAGGCTCAGACTTGGACACGTAGGAGAGGTGTGTGGGGACACTGTCTGGCCGGTAGTGGTGTGGCAAGGACTGTGGGCCCAGAGCAACAGGCCTCTGGTGGTAGTATGCAGCTCCTGGAGGTTCAATTAAAACTGGTTCTCCTTTAGCGTGGTACAGGTAGGCAGGCTGGTGCATGGAAGATTTACGAGGAGAGAGAGGATGGTGAGGCAGAGCATCCTCCTGATGGCCAGGCGCAGGGCCCTCATCCAGGAGGTGATAAGAGGTTTCACTTTGGCTGAGCGCTGCAGTGGCCAGTTTGCTCTCAATGGTGCGTACAGGAGGGGCTGGAGGTTTGGGTCCGTAGGGGTCGTGGTACTTTGTGGACTCTGTACAGGGCTGTACTGGCTTAATGGCCTCCCAAGGCTTCTCAAGAGGCTCAGCAGAGGTGGGGGCCACTCTTGCACTGGCCTTTGAGAGTGTCTGAGGTTGGGATTGGACTTGTGTCTGAGACTGTGTATGGGGCTGTGGCTGGGGATGTGGCTGTGGATGCGGCTGTGGCTGCGGATGGGGCTGCAGGTGAGGCTGGGGCTGCAGGTGAGGCTGGGGCTGCAGATGAGGCTGTGACTGAGGTTGAGGCTGTGACTGAGGTTGAGGCTGTGCTGGAGGATGAGGCTGTATCTGAACTTGTGTTTGATGCTGGGGAAGTGAGACGGCCTGCTTTTTGGGCTTCTGAACTATCGGTGGTGGCGGTTCTGATGGTTTTAGAAGGATCGGGGGAGTTGCAGTGTCCTCCGATTTGACCTGAGTAAAAGAACAACAGATTCTTATTTACTGAGCAAAAACTACAATTAAAAGTTGAGCGTTGCTGCAGCACACACCTCAGCTAGGTGCTGTGCAGTGCCACCACTCTGGTTACTGGGATGCTTCAGCATGGTATTATACTTAATTTATGTTGTTTGACATGTTTTAGTTTTTTATGCTCCTTTTATTCAAGGCATGTTTGACTTTTGTCGGATTTAAAATACAACAAGCATTGACCATTAAAAAGAGTTAAGAGAACTAAAACCTGCAACTCAACACATTAGTGACACTAACCGATAGCAAAAAATTCTATTACCTATGGAGGGTGTAAAACATTACAGAAAAAAATCAAAACAAGTAACCTACACCTTTGACTCTGTGGTAAATGCATGAGTACACTTGGTACACTTGGTGTTTCCAGTCTATATGCTAAGATAAGCTAAGCTCCTGGCTGCAGATGTGAGAGTGGTATCAATCCTGTCATGTGACTCTCAGCAAGAGAGTAAATAAGCATCAATCATTTTCCAAACTGTTAATTACTTCCTTTAAAGATCATCACTGACTTTATGCTGCATATGTTAATTATCAGTCAATTCATGCTTATTGCAGAACAATGTCAACATATAATGACTGTTAAGTCATGTAGGATATGACACTTACCTCAGGAACAGGCTGCGGTAAGACTCCAGTGTCTTTACAGCTGCCACTGGGGGTGGTGGCTGGAGTGGAACTGGACGAGCTGGTGTTGACTGAGACCTGTCTTGCAACAGGCTGCTGCCTCTCTGGACTTTTCCTTGTTGGAGAAGTCAGGCTGACTGAACTAGGAAGTGGGGCGCACTTGTAAAGCGGAGTATCTGGAGGGGTGGAGTCTGCATGTGGCTGTGTTCTAGGTGGACTTCTAGAGGACCTGGGACTGTCTGGGGACTTGGTAACCGGGCTGGTTAACTCTAGCGGCTGCATTTTGACTGAAGGACTGAAAGTTGAGGGACAAGTAGGGGCTGTGACGACCGTCGGAGCCGTGCTGTTTGGTGGCGGGGAACTTCCTCGTTTGGCCTTGTCTTCGGAGGAAGTCTGGAAATGTGGGAGAAGCGGATGCGGCAAGTCCTGGAAGTTAGAGGCCTCCTGTGACTGCAGAGAGGACACCGGTGTCGGGGGCTCAGAGGAACGTGACTGAGACTGCATGGAGACCTGCTGGGCAGACTCAGCGAGGGCCAGGGCCAACATGCGGGCAGCATTTTTAGGAGGGGGAAGAGGAGGAGGGGCAGAAGTGGGAGCTGTCGAGCTGAGGGAATGAAGGGTGAGGTCCTTTGAAGAGTCCAGAGCTACAACTCCTATCAGGGACACAAAAACACAAGGGATCTATAGTTGAAGAATGAATAAGCCAGAGAGTATAGGTGAAGTGAAGACGTGACAACAGGCAGGCAGGTTTTAAGGTGCTTCAACAGTGGGAAAGAGGGGGGACGTTAAGTGTGGACCTCAGCAATCATAAAAACATTTATTCAAAGATGAAATCCATGAAAACCTGAAAAACTAAACTGAGAATAAAGGCATTATATAGGTGATTGTATCACTTATCACATTCTTATTAAGCAACATTGTGTAAATAAACAGTTACAAGTCAGATTCATGGCAAAAACTGCACTGCAAAAAAAGACAGGTCATTCTCTGCCCCTCACCTTGGAGCTCGTGGCTGCTGGCAGCTGGTGCCTGCTGTTCGCTGTCCTCTCCCCTCAGCTCTCGACTGTCCACGCTGTCAAACGCTGCCAGCTTCGAGTGCAGCTCCATTTGGAAAGCTTCAGTCAGCGACGGCTCGGCTGCCCTCAGCAGCACACTGCCCATCAGGGGAGGAGAGTCCTTGGGTATTACAGGAGGAGATAATGGCTGTGGAGGGACAGCCTGTCCAGTTGTATTTTTGTCAGGCAACTCTGTAGAGAAAAGCTCTGAAGTGGCAAAAGGTAACATACTAGTGGCCTTTCCAAATTTAATAGGTGTCACAGCCTGCGTGGGTTTATCAGTGTAAGAATAGGAAGTGGTTAATTTCTTGCTTTCCATGTTTTCTCCAGCAGCTGGACTGAAGTCTGTGGACAACAAGGGAGTGGTCAAGCTGCCCAGGAAGGAGGCAGAAATGTCAGAACCGTTGGTTTTGCCACAGATGCTGCCGGGGCTCCTCTTTAACGTGGAGGCCTCGGCTCCGGCTCCAGCCCCGGCCCCAGCCCCGGCCCCGGCCCCAGCCAGTGAGTCATCTAGGGGGAAGGCGTAGGAGGTGTCGGGGAGGCTGCACTGGAAAGACATAGGATCAAAGTCCAAGGAGGCCATGCCAATATCCGGCGGGCTGAGGTCCACATCTTCACCTGCTGAGCGGGGGGGTGAGATGAGAGCAGGCACGCAGATGGGACCATCATCTCCGTCACTGTCCTCTGTGGCGTTCAGGTTGTCGTAGGAGTTGCAGTGTTGCCGGCTGTCCAGCAGCTCGCCATTAAAGGAGGCGGACAGGGCATCGCTGCTGGAGCGTGGCCGCCGGGGACGGTACACCTTGGACTCTCCTGTGGAAGGAAAAAAAAAAAAGTATTATCAGGAAAAATTACCTTTAAAAAGGCCCTGTTTGTGACAGTAGGTTGTCTGTAACTGGAAGACTCAAATGATTACCTTCAACATTGTGCAGGGAACTCAGTGACTCTTCACTTTTGGCTGATCTTAATGTTGCTGTGTCTCCTCTGCCTCCTGAAACATGAAGGTTAATAGGTATCAGTATTCCTGTTCAGTCAGTTTAGCTCCTCTCAGTGCACAGTTATAAGTTGTTTAAGAAAAATCTTCATTTTCAACTCACCAGCGAGAGCCATAGCCTTTAGCTCGTTAGGCTCACTGGGATTGCGGTGCAGCTTTCGCTTGGACATGGAGGAAGACTTGCCCAGGTTGAAGAAAGAACGCCAACTCCCCACAGGAGACTTCTTGGATTTAATAGGAGGCCTCTTCCTGGTGGGTGACAAGCAGACAGGGAACAATTAGTTTCATTGTCTTACAAACATAATAATCAGCTACATTAATGTGTTTTACCTGCTTTTAAAAACTCTTCATGTGAAAAATCAGATCATTTTCATTTTTAAAATATACTAGACCAGAGACAGTCAGGGTCCAGCCTGTAATGGCAACCTAGTGCAGGAGCAGAGTGAGTCTGCCTGCAGTCTTACAAGCAACCAGCAGAGGGAGACCCATTCCAGCATTACGCATAACAAACGTTATGATGCATATAAATGTCTGTCTCCATCTATGTGTCTAATTTACATTTCATATTTATTGGTCTTATGAAAATGTTCTGTCATCGGTAAAAGGTCTTAACAAACCTCTCGGTGGGAAACTCGATGACGGTGTGGAACTTGCCCTGCAGGGCGGCTGGACCTTCGCCCACCTCGATGTACTTGCTGTCTTCGGTGACCGGAGAGTTGATCTGAGCCTGGGTCCTGGCCTGGGCCTCCTCCAGACTCAGAAGTTTTGTGGAGGGTGACGAAACCAGCAGGGACTTGGGCCGTGACAACGAGTTGTGACCTGGTGATGTGGAAGCAGGCAGGAGTACAGCAATAAATGGTAGAGTAGACGCAGCTGTGGGGAGCGGAATGGCCACTTATCTATTCATCTATTTAATATCCATACGTACCTGCTCCCTCTCGTATCAGTGAGCTGAGTTTAGCACTAAAGAGAACGTCCACGTGGTTGAGGATGAACTCCACCACCACGGACTGGATTCTGACTTCCATGAAGGCTGCTGTGCCGCTGAAGCACGCAGATTCAATCTGTTTTGACCTGAGACAACCACGGAAAAACAAGTTTGACTTAATAATGGAATTAGCTTAAAAAGCACTGAATCAAATCCTGTCCACCTGATTATGTTTAAGTGGTTAGATTCACAACATTTAAATAAATGACTTTACGATACGTTTCCAGCATTAGATGTGTGTTGTGTTGTGCTTTAATCCTTCCACTCAGACAGAATGACTCATTTAAAGCAGCTGTCCACTATCAAGGCTGATTCAAGTCTGAGAAATTGCTAATGTGAGTAATATAGAAGAAACCCAAAGAAACTTAACTATACTGTATGTCACGCTGAGAAAATCATCTGAATTACTCTTTTATAAAAAATGTTACTCAAAAAATAAATGACAGCTGACTTTGAGATGACGATTTACACAGTGAAAAACAAACATACAAAGAACAGGTGTATACAGAGCAGGACGGTGTCTCACCTCAGCAGGTTGGGGGCCCAGACGATGGCCAGGTTCTTGCTGTGCATGTTGGTGATGTAGCTGAACGTTGCCAGGCGGGAAAGGTGTCTCATGAGGAACTCCAGGGTCCTAGGAATCAAATTTATTCAGATTTAATTGGTTCCCACTAGTGATGTGCAGTGTGCGAGTTAATGACCGGAGCTGCTTCTTCAGAGCATCAATATTTCACTCTGTGCTCAAATCCACATTGACTGTCACTTAGAAATTTGCATTTATGTGCTTTAACATAGGATGGGAAAAAAACTGGTTCATCATCACCAATTTAAAAGCCACCTGGGACCTGTTAAATTATTCTCTTCTCTGCAGTGTGGTTCTTTAAAACCCCTTGATCTTAACTGAGGTGAATGCACAATACATCTGTAATCTGTCAGTTAGCAGGCCTGCCAATGGGGGGCAGTGCGCCTCCACACTGACCTGTAATGCGGCGGAGGAAGCTGCTGGATGACATCATGGATTTTGATGAGTCGTTCTTCATCCGTCGCCGCTGATACGGCCTCCTTCAGAGTCAAAACAGTCAGCAGAGGATGGTGAGATAGGGAAGGGGGGTAAACAATGGGATGTGTCACTGCGTCAACATTAAGCTACTTCACTTGTCATCCCAGGTTCATACTGCTACATGGAACATGGAGGGGGACACCAGTCCCCCCACCCACCCACCCACCCACCCCTCCTCTCCTCTCCCCAGCTGCCATAACAACCAGCAAACATTTACTTCATCCTCAGAGACAGCTCTGTTTGGAGAAAGTTTTTATTCCAAGTCACACAGAGAGTGGTTTGCTGCATTTGTAATGACAGGGTGTGTCGGGTACAATGCTATTATTTTAGGGGTGTCACTGACTCACAGCTGAGATAAACTTAAACAATTCCTACAAGATAAATTGTAGGAATTTACTTTCTTTCCTACAGAGCACAATTTTGCAAATCAATAATCAGTCACGCCCAATCAGTCTCCTTTGGGGCATCTGTATGCAAAACCGAAAGAGTCATGTGTCGCAATAGTCAACAGACGTGTTTCAACACATTAAAGTGGAGTGTGAGAAGTGTGTGAGAAGTGCTTGCTTCTGGTAGGGCTTTGCTTACAGAGAATTTCTCATAGAGCTGGTAGGTGAGCAGGGGGTTGGGCAGCTCTCTGAAGTAGAGCTTACACAGCGAGCCAACACAGTGGATGTCCTGGATGTAAACATCTTTGGTCAGGTCGGGGATCTGCTCAGAGTCAAACTCGTGCCTGAGAAAGAAAGAAGGCGAAGGCAGAGACAACAAACTTTAACCATCTCTGAAGAAAAAACATCATTGTAAGGGCCGGTGTGATTTGATGGAGGGATACAAGACAGGAGAAGGGTCAAGCTGCATTTCACTAGTTTTGTAGAAGAAAAAAATATTGATATGTAAAGAGACGTTCTTTCAAAAACATCTCCACATTTCCTGAAAATGACATTTACTTTCATTGAACTGAGCCTGTAATTAGACTCTTGTAGAGCCCATTGGTGTGAGCTTACTCTATCAATTGTAGGTGACTTTTCCACATCTCTATGAACTATTCCCGCAGCTGGACAATCAGGAGACACCATTTAGAGAGATTTTAGTGAGGATCAGTGAAATCGAAACACCCGATGCATGTGGTCATCTCCACATAAAAACCCTCCCCATCCCACATTTACACATAAACACTAAATTACCTTTATAATCTTCACAGCACAGAAGAAAAACATCAGCTCCTCACATGTCCACAGCACATGCTGCATTTTACAAGGCACAACTGCTGTAAAAGCTCCAGTTACCTAAGCACTTATACTGGTATGACAACATTAAACAAAAAACACTGATGATGAGGAACAACTGTTACACTTAAAGTCCTGTTTTTTTTTCTTTTTCTTTTTTTTTTTACAGATGCAGTAATCTCACATGGAGCTCATGTTATCAACCATTGGATGAAGGCTACAGTGGGATAATATTTGTGAGCTCCTCCTGTAGCAAATGACATTTCCTGATAAACACTTGAATCAAGTTGTGTGCTGAGCTGTATTTTCTGGGCAGTGTGTGTGTGTGTGTGTGTGTTTGTGTCTCCTACCGCAATTTCTGGATATTTGAGGCGATTCCAGAGAGGCGGTAGATGCCGTCCACCACACCGTGTTTCTCGATGAACTCGGTGCAGCTCTTGAGGACCTGGGGCACTGTGAACACAAACAGCGTGTCATCACATAACACATCTCTCTCAGTCAATATTGGTCCAGTCTTCACTGAGCGCCCGGGGTCAAGAACAGGGTGACTTTCCTCTCTGAAGTGTGTGTGCAGTGCGGTCAGGCTACAGTTCAGGGGCTTTTTGGACACGAGGCTGCAGACTCAGGAAGAATATTGACTGTGAATCACAAAACCTTTCTGTGCTTCTGGAAGGAAAAACACTTTTCTGAGGGTGGAAACATTTGAACCGTGTAAAGTGGAAAGAAATAAATCCTGAAGACCTTCAAAAATATTACATTTCTTTACTGGCTGAAGCAAACAGTGAGATACCATGCTGTTTGTGAGTGAGGCAGCCAATCATGTACGATCGCCTTCAAAGCACAATGCCAGTGATTGTGTGTTTAGACCAAATAAAAAAAAAAACTCAGAAAAACACAGAGCTGCTTCATTCTCCTTCAGCAACCATGAATCATAAGAGGCATGTTATTTATCTGTGTGTGTGTGTGTGTGTGTGTGTGTGTGTGTGTGGGAGATAAGGACGGTGTGTCTAAGGAGGTTCCCAGGCCTCCCACAGCTCAAACATCATTCAGATGATGACAGAGAGTGGGACACTCGCCGAAGCAGCTGTTCAGATGAATTCCTCACATAGCCAAAGAGAAAAGGAGGTCAGATCTGAGGAAACGAGTTGGCATTCTCCAGCTGAGGCGAGGACATTCAGGATGGATAAATACTCTCCAAGTTCTTCACGTAGCAAGCTTTTGTTATGAAGCTCTCTCACCACAAAGATACACAACATACTGAGTGTGGAATACGTCTCCAACACATAAAAAATCATCCTCTTACACTCTAGTCAAAACAACAGTATTCAAACAGCTGCTTTCAGTGATGATCTGAATACCTTAAAATGTCCTTTTAAAAGTTCAGACTGACTTCAGTGCAGAGGGAAATAAAAATCTTTTGGCAGATTGACAACAAAAGCAGAGATGTGTAGGTTACTGATGGCTGGCTGTCGCCTCCTCTGACAGATGAAGGTAGAACGTGGAAGTTATTCGGTCTCAAGGCAGCAGTCTGAAATTGGTTATGACAGAGGCTTTCAGGAGAAATAAAAGCGTTTACAAAGCGCTTCTGACCTCCAGAGTTTGCATGTGAAAGAGCTGTGCAGAGGAATTACATTAATTAAACACAGCATGAATTGCCCACTTATGATTTAAAGCATCAAATTAATCAAAACTCAGAGGAAATGCATCATTTAATAAAAATCTGAAACGTATGAAATTGTTAAGGTGGAATTCCAGCCAGCAAGGGTGGCAGCTCACCATCAGCCCCATGTAGGCAGATCACTTGATCTTTAGCGCTCCCTAATCAGCACGACTGAAACATGAGGTTTTAATGGAGATTTGTTAAAGTACAATTTATTTCATGGAGCAGATGTTTGTGGCTTTTACTTTCTGTTTTCTCCCCAAAGTCTCAGTTTGTTGTTGAAGCATCTGATAACAGCTACAAGAAAAAGTCTGGCTGCCTGTTTTTGGAGATTTAACTTATAGCTAATTTTACAGGATGAATGAAAATCCTTTACAGTGATAAATGCAAGTTTTGTAGTGAATTGTCACAACATGTCCGCCTACAACCCTCATTCATCTATGCAGCAGCAGAGTTTCTGTGGTTAGCTCATAAACTATAAATCATAATTATTAACCATGTTTCTTTTACTCTACAGTTATCTTTTATTTCTCATAAGATAGAGTCAGAACCTTGACTGTTTGACCCCGCAGTGTGAAAGAGTGGCTTATCTCTGCCTGTAAAGGTGAGGCAGGGTTTACAAAGGTCGAGGCTCTTGAAGGCGTGACTGCGATGCAGGATGGCCGACACAAAATGGACAGGATTCAGTCTGATCTCTGCTCTCTAATGTGCTGCTAAGATAAGACCCACTCACATCCATCCAAAGTGAATAAATGGGTTTTCAAGTTAGTGCCAACATGAAGTGAAATGAAGTTACTGATCAAAGCTTAACAGCAGAGTAACATCATTACACTGGCTGGTAGCTGATGCTACAGTGTAATCGAGACACCATTATCCTCCCACTCTGTCACTGAGACCATCACGTCAGCTTACCTGCCAGACGAGCTGCTGAGAGAGCCGGAAATCAGATTGGCTGCAGCAGATAAATGGAGACTTCGCCCCTGGAACTTATTTACAACCAGGAAGTGCTTCTGTTTATATACAGTATGTGGTGAATATTTGTTTTAAGGTCCATAATGAATTTCATCTGAAAATTATTATTAGCTCGTTAGAGTTATAAAGAAAGGAGGCAGGCGTGTTTGAGGAAAAGTTTCCCAATAAAATATGTTAAACATTCGTAATTCATAATTTGAATTTGAGCCTGAAGGATAAAGATCAGGATTAACTGAACCTGACAAACTGCAGCATTTTATTATAAGACAGTAAACTTTCATAAAACAGCTGGTATTCACAGAAAGACCGCATCAGCTAATAGGCAGGGGGACTATTACTTGTCTGCACACAGCCATGTCCTTGAGTGTTGTTGTGCAACCAATGGAGACTCCAGGAAGTCACTATATATAACACATCTATAAAACCACGTATGTACGGATTTAACAAACATCACATGTTAAATCGGTGAGCTTCAGACGTGTTGCTAAGCAGACTTTTCGACCTTTGGACAGAGCCAAGCTAGCTGTTTCCCTCTGTTTCCAGTCTTTATGCTAAGCTAAGCTAATAGACAGGCATATTGGTATCAATCTGGACATCCAACTCTCTCCAAGTGAGAAAAATGATCATATTTCCCAAAATGTCAAATTGCTAAGCACCCAGAAAGACTTTTAATCTTTCAAGGAACAGGGGAAATTAGGAATCAAAGCCTGTCTATAATGTAAGACTGTAAGACGCATAAATTGATCCAGGAAGTAACTACTCTCAGGCGTGTGTATGTGAGTGTTTCTCACCATCGTGTCCTGAGTTGAGGAGATGTTCTCCCAGGTCGCAGCCGAACACCCTCTCCCGGAGGATGCCCCTCTGCTTCAGCTTCTGCTTGGTGGGTCTGGACTTCATGAAGGAGCGCAAGAAGGTGATCAGCTTCCCGTGCTTCTTAGACACTGAGGAACCATGGAAGGAAGGAAGGACAGATCTTAGGAACCCTTACACAGATGTTTACTACACTACAGTAAGTGTGGGTTAGAAACTGGCTCAGCTTTCACACAAGCTTTACCCATGCACTAGAGTGAAACCTCATACAAGGTGCTCAACGTTGTCCCATTGTGCATTTCAGCTTCATTCTGATGCAAACCCTTCCTTTATGCATGTCTAGTTTCCTTGAAGCGAAAGCTTCGTTCTTAAATACCACCTCCCAGGCAACTACAAAGGAATTCTCCACATCCAACACCAGTATCCTCTGTCCCTCTTCAAAACACGACAAAAAAGGAGTAGACCTACTTAAAAAACTCGACCCACATTAATCAGACACTCTGCCTGGGAAAGGGTCGTAAGCTTCTTAAACTACACACCAGTTATTTTCTCTGCTTTAGAGAGATGTGGAAGTGAATCAAACAATATGCATATTTTGGAGGGAGGAACAATGGAGTCGGAGCCTTCACTTTAGACATTTGTTTGAAAAAAAAAAAAAAAAAAAAAGAGGAAACCTCCCTGAAAATCACACAGTCAGCCACTGGTGAGATGACAGTAGCAGTGTTTTTCCACTCAGTCCTTTAACTTGACTTGGCTCTGCAGATGATGTGAACGTGATCATGAAAGCTTAAATTTTCCTTTAACTGAACAGTTAAAATCAGTTCTGGTTAACAGACAAATATTTTCTGATCTGAAAAAGCAGAAGCATTGTCGTGTATCTAATGGCAGGTTAGATGTTACGTAGAAACACTGCTGCTCTCTGAAGATGAGTGAACAAAACAGGTTCATCACAAGGTTGAAAACCAATTATTTCACCGTCTTAATCCTACATTTACTGAGTTCAGTATTTGAGTATCTTTAAATAAAACCCTCTCTGTGAAGCTGAGGTTGCTACTAATCACCACATTTACAGGATCTTCTCCAGATCAACTCTTGAAGCATCGTCATCTGCCCTTCTCTCTGTTCTTCAAACCTGAAATTCACCGTAAAGCCTTTGATGTGGACCTAAGACATCACAAATAATGAATCAACGTCTCCGACAGTCCTCTCTCGTCCTCTCCGTCTCTGTTCTCTCACCAGTGTATCAGTGGTCCGCCCTCAGCTTCTGTCACTGCTTCGCTGAAAACTCGTCTCGTCTTGGATCTCACCTTTTTTTTTTTTCTTTTTCTACCTGTCTCTCTTTGATCCTCTGTGGACGCTTTACATTGTTCTGCCCTTCACACCGACTTTGACCAACAACTCTTCCTACTATTCAGTCACTCTGCAGTCTTCCACAGCACAGCTACCCTTTCTGAACGTGGAGCTCTCAGCAGCCGCGCGGCTCCTGAATCCAGGAACGTATGAAATTACAGATGTGCAGATGGTCCCACTCTGGACAAAAAAAAAAAACAAAAAAAAACCCAGGGACACTTGCTTAAGGTTTATTAATGAGGACACTATTGAAAATGTCCATTACCTATCCTATCTTCAGATCAGTGTGCTCTTTCAGCCACAACACATCTGGAACTTCACTAAATCTCTAAAACCAGAGAGCTCGCACCAACATCTTCTGTCTGAGGTGCTCAGGGCTAAAGTGGAAAAACTGCTGCGTCGCATCAGTTTTTATTTATATTCCAGGGCACATTGCTTTAACTGATTTTAAATACAGTCACGATCACAGCCCGCCCCTCCCCTTCCCTTCCACTTCTCTCATGTGCTTCACAGATTTGGACTATTCATTTTTACCTGCTCCGGCCTTCAGACCAAAATAAACACAGAGGCTGCAGTTTTAAAGAAGAAAGCATTTACCATTCAATCAAATAAATAACTCGTCTTTGGAGAGATACGGTTACTCTTTGCTGTCTGCTGCCAAGCTGAGCTCTAAAAGTAGGCCACTGCTTACCAAACCCCGCTCTCCAGAAACAAAAAAAAGCTGCGTTAAAGAAAGATACGGCTGCACAGAGTGTCTGAGAAGAATAAAAGTGTCGAGTGTGATGATTTGTCTGAAGTGATGAATTTGAGTAAGAATTATTCCAAGACCAGACGCTGTGCGAGACCCGGCCCCTCTCTCCCAAAGACCATTAGGTAAAAATTAATGAGAAGCTGCCTGTTTTGCATGCTGAATTTACACTGTGAAGGTAAAGTGTGTGCAGCAGACTTAATTGACAGTCTGTTCGAGTACATATCGGATAAAAACATCAAGACTGCTGTAAAACTAATAAGCTGACGGGAATGGAAAGTTACTTTGTAGTTGAATTAAGTTGCTCATTGTATTGGCAGAATACTAACTAATAAAAATATGTGCACACAGTGAAAGTGCATGAGAACATGTTTCACAAAAACTGAGGCGGTGGCGCTCATTACTTTTCATTCGGTTGCTCCTTTGAATCAAACACAAGCCAAGGAGCAGCAGAAACTGAACTGCAACAAAGTGTCAGGGTAAGATGGTTCGGACTTGTTTCCATTCCTTGCATGTCTATCTTCCCACTAACCAGGCTGCGAGATCCTTTATTCACACCGTGTGGTCAACAGATCTAATCCATCAGTAAAATTCTCTTGGCGTCTGTTCAAAACTCACACACTAGTGTAAATTAACTCAGATAGATTTATAACCACCTCACTACTCAAAGTAAATAAATAAAGTCTGAAACACGGTTTTGAATCCAGAGTCTCTATGGTGTGCCGTTTTAATGAAGCAGCACAATCAATTCTGGATCAACAGGCGTGCTCTGAGCCAGCATCTGCAAACAGGACCCAGCGTTTCATGTCAGGGAAATGTGGAGCCAGAGTTCACCCCTCTGGGAGAAATTCCTCCTGCACTGCTGTATCCAGAGACAAAACCGCTGAGGCAGCTTTGTTTACTCACTGTTGAGGCATCAAAAAAAAAAAAAAAAAAGGGCCATCAGTATCATGTAGGGGAGGGGGCGGGGCGGAGCAGAGCTGACTGTGCAACTGTGTTGGCTTACACCGACACGTCGCTTCCATTGTAAAACCCAGACTGGCTGTAATAAGACGTGAGGAAGAGGAGCGCAGTGACAAGCATGACTCTCCAGAGCATGGACAGTCTCTCCCATCTGCTTACTATAAGGCAGATGACAGCCTGTGGGCTAGCAGCTCTTCAAGCACTGAAAAAGTCACTGGTAAAAGGCATTTAATTGAAGATCGAGGCTGCTTCTTGTGACATTAATTAGAAGATTTATTGCTCTGGAGCGCAGTGATTTAGTTTTGTACTACTACGCGATGCATTTGAAAAGAAATGGTTAAATTTGAAGCAGCATTCGCCAAGATATCCTGACCTTTAAACTCCAAAATAATAGATCCTACATTTCCCACGATGCAACTGGATACTGTGAATCATTAGACCCTCTCTGCCTGGAAAACGCCCACAGCTTTCAAACTCCACACCAACAGTCTGTAACACGGGCTTTCTATTATCATTTTCTAGTATCAAGAACCATAAGCCTGATGACATCACTATGACATCATCAGGGTTATTTTTTCACACTTGCTCCAGACACACAAAACACTTCATACAGCTGTTTTCACAGGCTGAGCAGGACTAACCAGGACAAGTAAACTGATCTTCTGTGGAATGCCCCTTTAACACAAACAGCTGACAATGGTTGTGTAGAATATTATTGGATATTTCCAAAAATTGTCAAATCTGATGTCATATCTTTGGCATGTGGCGCTCTAAAAGGCGGTGGGGGCTGAGATATTTACAGATTGGGAAACAAGAGCCAGTAGTTAGTGCCTCGATAAAATCCAGACAGGACAAAGTTAAATACAGAGGATGGTTACTGCCTGATGAACACTGACAGGTTTCAGTTCCAGCCCTTAACTGTGTTTCTATGACGAGGCTTTTCCTTCAGAGAGCCCAGTGAGAGGCTGCGGGGGGCGAGGAGAAAAGTGGCCAAGCATTACAGCAGGAACAATTACAGATGTAATGGCAAACATCATGCTCTCTTTCCCCGCTCCAACCCCAAACCTCATTAAATTCAGTTAACACAGATTGGAGGAAAATTACTTCATAGCAACACAACAACGTCCTAAATTAAGAGCGGTGACACCACAGAGCCAATCAGCAGAGCTTATCCTGAGATATTTGATCCAACTGCTCTGTGTGTCAGTGTTCCCTGAATACACATGCACATGTAGGCGTGACCGCGGCTCCTCAGGGCTTCACAATGGTCTCATCACAGCTCGACTCGGCCTTTTCTCTCCAGCTAGACCCCCCCCCTCTCACTCTCTCTCTCTCACTCACACACTCACACACACACACACACACACACACACACACACACACACACACACACACACACACACACACACACACACAGCGGAGCGGGAAATTCAAACTCCCCCTCCTGTTTGCTGTTGTAGTTTCAAGAAAACACTACATGGACGGGTTGGATATGATTTCAGCGTCAGTCTCAGAGATCTACATGATGAGAGAACAGGAGTTTTGTCTGGGATGTGATTTTTGTTTTTTTCTAAACAGATTAAATGTGTTTTAGCTGGGGTGGATCCTGCAAATTAAAGTTGAGTTTTTCTTTGTCAATACTGTGAGTCTGAAAATGTCTGCAGTTTTTCCAAATTTGCTGTCTGCCAACTTATCAATACTATTGCATTCACTTTGCATTTAAAAGACTAGTGACTAGGTCCAAAATCCTTTCAATATTTTCAATAATGCTTTAGCCCCAATTCATCTAAACAAATCTTAGTGAGTTTCTCTGAGTAGTTGATCTTTTATATCCACTTAAGGGACTCAACAAGCCATCTTCATCATGTTATTGGTATCACTTTCAGATCGCTGCCAATGAAAAAAGAATATTTGTCCATTGAGAGGCAGATACCACAGAGATAATGTTTCCATTTATCAAACTAACAGAACAATAACACTGTGTGGGAGACGCTGTGTTTACGCCCATTAAACACATCCCCTGTTGGTGTTTCTGGATGGAAGTTCACTGAGTAAACAACAAGCAGCTTC